CCTCCTGAGCAAGTGACGGCCTTTTATACTCGTCTTCCTGGATAAGTGACTCCCTTTTATACTCGTCTTCCTGGATAAGTCCTTTTATACTCGTTCCTATACTCGTCTTCCTGGATAAGTGACGCCCTTTTATACTCGTCCTCCTGGTCTTCCTGGATAAGTGACGCCCTTTTCTGCTCGTCCTCCTGGCCAAGTGACGCCCTTTTCTGCTCGTCCTCCTGGCCAAGTGACGCCCTTTTCTGCTCGTCCTCCTGGGCAAGTGACGCCCTTTTCTGCTCGTCCTCCTGGGCAAGTGACTCTTCCTCTACTCGTCCTCCTTGGCAAGTCTAAATTTAATTGTCCCCAAAAATTTATGAGACCTATTTTTTTTTTCGAGCCGTGTTAGAATTTTTCACGAGGATAAGAATTATTGAATAAATGTAGTGAAGTACAGGTCTAGCCCCACGTCTCAGGTTAGTTGTAGGGGGCGAGTCAGTTTTTGGTGGTACGTGACCTGTTGGGCAAGTAGCTTTCCAAAACGAAATTCTTCCCTTGACTGTGGCGGAGGTCATTTGATTACTGATGTGGCGGAGGTCGCTTGATTACTGCTGTGGTACAGGTCTCTTGATTACTGCTGTGGTAGAAGTCACTTGATCACTGCTGTGGTAGAGGTCTTGATTACTGCTGTGGATTACTGAGGTCACTTGATTACTGCTGTGGCTGAGGTCGCTTGATTACTGCTGTCGCTTGATTACTAGAGATCTCTTGATTACTGCTGTGGTACAGGTCTCTTGATTACTGCTGTGGTAGAGGTCACTTGATTACTGCTGTGGTAGAGGTCACTTGATTACTGCAGTGGTGCTTGATTACTGCTGTGGTAGGTCGCTTGATTACTGCTGTGGTACAGGTCTCTTGATTACTGCTGTGGTAGAGGTCGTTGATACTGCTGTGGTAGGTCGCTTGCTTGATCACTGCTGGTGGTAGACACTGTGGTAGAGGTGATTACTGCAGTGGTAGAGGTCGTTTGATTACTGCTGTGGTAGAGGTCACTTGATTACTGCAGTGGTAGAGGTCGCTTAATTACTGCACTGTAGCAGGTCGCTTGATCACTGCTGTGGTGAGGTCGTTTTGATTGCTGTTTCATGGTACAGATTCTCTTGATTACTGCTGTGGTAAAGTCCTTGATCACTGCTGTGGTGGTAGAGGTCACTTGATCACTGCTGTGGTAGAGGTCGTTTGATTACTGCTGTGGTACAGGTCTCTTGATCACTGCTGTGGTAGAAGTCACTTGATCACTGCTGTGGTAGAGGTCACTTGATTACTGCTGTGGCTGAGGTCACTTGATTACTGCTGTGGCTGAGGTCGCTTGATTACTGCTGTGGTAGAGATCTCTTGATTACTGCTGTGGTACAGGTCTCTTGATTACTGCTGTGGTAGAGGTCACTTGATTACTGCAGTGGTAGAGGTCGCTTGATTACTGCAGTGGTAGAGGTCACTTGATCACAGCTGTGGTAGAGGTCGTTTGATTACTGCTGTGGTACAGGTCTCTTGATTACTGCTGTGGTACAGGTCTCTTGAATACTGCTGTGGTAGAGGTCGCTTGATTACTGTTGTGGTAGAGGTCACTTCATTACTGCTGTGGCAGAGGTCGCTTGCTGTGGTAGAGGTCGCTTAATTACCACTGTAGCAGACGTCGCTTGATCACCGGACTAAACAAATCAGTAACAAGTCTCTTGAATCACCACAACACAATAATAATTTGTCACTGGTCCCGCTACCCGCAATGGGTTCCGCCTGTCGCTAAATTAACCTGATAATTGCGCTCGTAAATCCCACTTGGCCAAGAAAGGGGAATTCTTTTCAGCGGACCTTAAACCTATTCATCTTTTGAGTCATCTTTGTGTGTGGAGCAGATGGTGGGTGGGGGGGTGATGGGGAGGAGGGTGGCGAAGATGGGGAGGAGTGAGGGAAGAGGAGGAGGGATGATGGGGAGGAGGGTGGCGGAGATGGGGGAGGGAGGAGGGAGGGAGGGAGGAGGAGGTGGGATGATGGGGAGGAGGGTGGCGGAGATGGGGGAGAGGAGGAAGAGGAGGTGGGATGATGGGGAGGAGGGTGGCGGAGATGGGGAGAAAGGAGGGGAGGAGGATGGCGGAGGAGGGGAGGGAGGGGATGGTGGGGGCGAGGGAAGAGGATAGAAGGTGGGGGAAGGAGGAGGAGGGAAGATGGGGGAGAGGTACAGGCGAGGGAGGTTCAGTGGTAGTGTTCAGTGTACTCGTGTACCTTAGGGCTCAGTGCTCACTTCTGTGTTTACCATCGTGTTTGTTCAGTGCTCATCGTAGTGTGATACTTTGCCGTGTGTGTTCAGTACTCACCACAGCAGTGAATCAGAATATTTGAGACTGAATCTTCGAGAATCCTTGAGCTTTGAGGATCAGAACTTTCGTGAGTCTTGGACCTTTGCGAATCGGAATCTTTGATAATCTTGGATCTTTAAGAATCAGAATTTTCGAGAATCAGAATTTATGAAACTCAGAATATTTAAGAATCTCGGGTCTTTGAGAATCAGAATTTTAAAGAATCAGCAGAATCTTAAGTGAAAATTTCCTCCAGTTATTCCACTTTTCATAGAGGTTGCGACCGACGGATGTAGCGAATTACCGTGTGAGAGGTCAGCCTTGAGCACCTTCCTGACGGAGTTGTACCCGACCTGTGACCTCGTGTGGCGTGCCTGTGGTGGCTCCTGAGACTGTGGAAGACGAACATACTGTCTGTGTAGTTTCTTAATGGCTGTGTAAATATATTCAAGCATTCTCTTTCTTATTTTTCCTTTTCGTTATTTTCTTGTTCCCATTATTATTGTTGTTTTTATTATTTTATTATTATTAACATTATCATCGTAATCATCATCGTCATCATCATCATCATCATCATCATCATCATCATTGATACTCCCATATTTCCCCAGTTGATAAATTGACTCGTTGACTTCAATATGAACACCAAAATTCTGTTATATTGTGAACACGAAGAACATAAATGAACATAATAAACAAGAAAAAACAAATAGGGAATTATTAAGAACAAATTAGTGAGAGAAAAAATACAGTTTGTTGTAAGGGAAACGCAAGTTGAGATTGTTTCAAAGTACCAACCCGGGGTGCCAATTAGGTGCCTGTGGTGCGTGCAGGTCGGGGGGGAGGGAGTGGGTGGTGGGGGTAAGTGGGGAAGAGGGAGGGTGGTGGGTAATGAAGAGGGAGAGAGGGAGGGTGGTGGTGGGTAATGTAAGAGGGAGTGGGTGGTGGGTAATGAAGAGGAGGGTAGGCAATGGAGGGTGGTGGTGAGGGAGAGGGAGAGGGAGGCAGGTAATGTAAGAGGGAGGGGGTGGGTAATGAAGATGAGAGGGGAGAGGAGGGTAGTGGGTAATGAAGAGGGAGGGTGTGGTGGGTAATGAAAAGGGAGAGGGAGGGGTGGTGGGTAAATGTAAGAGGGAGGGTGGTGGGTAATGAAGATGGAGAGGGGAGGAGAGGGGAGGGTATGAAGGGGGAGAGGGGAGGGTAATGAAGAGGGAGAGGGGGTGGTGGGTAATGAAGAGGGAGAGGGGAGGGGTGGTGGTGAAGAGGGAGAGGGAGGTGGGGTAATGAAGAGGTAGAGGGAGTGGGTGGTGGGGTAATGAAGAAGGAAGAGGAGGACTGGGGTGGGATAGAGGAGGCAGGGATGAGGGCAGGAAGGATTGGGTGGAGAGATCGCGGATAGGTTGGAGACAGACTCATTAGCAGCGACTACAGTTTGTTTTGGCAGAGGACGAGTGTGTGTGTGTGTGTGTGTGTGTGTGTGTGTGTGTGTGTGTGTGTGTGTGTGTGTGTGTGTGTGTGTGTGTGTGTGTGTGTGTGTGTGTGTGTGTGTGTGTGTGTGTGTGTTACCATGGAGTGTAAAAGGGTGTATTTGTGACCATGGAGTGTGTACGAGTGTGTATATTGATAATAACCGAGAATAAGGGATATTTATAGGAGTGGAGAAGGTATGTATGTATGTATGTGTGTGTGTGAGTGTGTGTGTGTGTGTGTGTGTGTGTGTGTGTGTTCACGCGTTAGGGCTGTGTTTGTGTGTTTATGTGATGTTTTGTGTATATGGAATCCTGTGTGTGTGTGTGTAGAGTCGCGAGGACGTGCGTGTTTGTGTGATCTGCGTCAGTAGGGAGAAAGCATGGTCTATATGTGGAGTGTACCTGTGTTCGTAAGGGAGTTGGTATGGTTGAGTGTATAGGAGAGTCTGTTATTGTGTGTGAATGTATGATTGACCTTTATAAAGTAGATGAAAAGAAAGTTGAGGGAAGTCAAGTCTGCTTCTAACTCATTTTATTGTAGACAGGAAAAGTACACACTTGTCTCCCGAACACCGTCTAACAGGGAATTGAGTCTAAAACCTAAGTAGTTACACCACAAGACAGACTTATACTCAATCTGATATATATATACCGTGGCCAGGCTACAGCATGAGATAGTTAAGGAAAAACAGAATTGCTATAGTCATGTATCCCGTTGAACTGGTCCCGTATCTTTAATCTAATGTTGCTGCACCGAGTTAAAACAGGAATCTCCTAACGCTGGTGTCTTATTTTGTGGTGAAGTGCCCTTATTCGGTGAAGACTTCCACTTATACCTCGTTAATCGCGCACTACCCATAATTCTAATTCTATCTTTTATCTTTACTTATCTTACACTGCATACTTATCTTACACTGCATCAACGGAATATAGGAACCTCAAAGAGAGATGACGATATGTTAACAGGAGAGGGATGAAAGAACAGAGCAGAAAGATAAAGGAAAAGTCTGGAACAATTAGAAATATTCCACATACTTTTGCTCTTATCCTCGACTTTATACGCAATATACAAAGTGACTCTTAGCCTTCACATTGACTCACAACACTTAACATTACGTCACTGTGCATACTAAGCCATGGATACCTAAATAATGTATCTAAAGAGGGAGTTTTATTTACAACAGAGACAGGAACATACCTTGAAGAGTGCAAGCTTAGCGTCGGCCTCTTCCTTGGAGATGGAGGTCCTAGAGCCGCGGCTGGAGGCGTTAGAGATGTCACTGCGGGCGTCGGTATCTCCGCCGCCACCGTCCTCCCCGAACACCGCGTCGTCAGCGTCTCCGCCTGTCACGTCGCCGTCCACGCTGTCCACCACGATGCTGAAGGAACCCGCACATAGGATCTCAGTGGACCGCGAGCGAACTGGCCCGCGGGCCACTAAGGCTGCCGCCATATTAATTGTGGCGACAAATGTGACACAAACTAAGGTAAACAAGCGGGGCACCGAAGGGCCTCGTCAACACCTGCTGCCTGAGTGACACGCACTTATGGACTGATTGGCAGTGGCGTGATTGGTAAGTGTCACAGGAGAGACTGCTCACTACCAGTTGCTGTAAGTGCTTATGGGCTCCTGAGATAAGTGCTTGACAGTGCTTTAGCGTTTTTATAGTTGCTGAGTGATGTTTCAAGAATGAGGTGCTAGGGGTGACCTGCCCTACCGCTGGGGGTGTGTGGGTCCTCTATGATATACACAGCTTTCTCAAGAAGGACCGAGAGATCTTATCCATTAATTGAGTACTGTACTTTTAGTGGTGGTGCACTGGAGGGCTCAGTGCGGGTAAGGACTTCGTGCGATAACACCCAGGTGTTTTGTGAAGGGTGTGCAGTGCTCTTCGTTGCCGCAAACGTTTGTGATTATTCAAAACACGTGTTCTATTGGTTCGGGGAAGAAAGTTAGTGGTGGGAAGTTGGTTCTCAGATACTGAAGAAAATGTACAGTAGACGATTAAAACTGGTAGCTTCCAGCCAGTTGTTTTGACAGTGAGAAGACTTGACTCCAAAGAAGGGTGGCGTGGCAGTAGCGTGATTCACGGTGCTTAGGTGGACGAGCTCCGCGAGAGCCTGAGCGAGACTGAGCTTGTAGTGCGAGGGGGCAGCGACAGTCACTTGTTGGTTTACGCCGTCACCAACACAACTGCCACCGTCAACTATCCTCACGTTATCACCTAGGAGCGGTTCTCCTTGACTTCTACTGAGCGTCGATTATAACATTTAAGTTTAGATGATATTCTATAGACTGATGTATACAGTAAATAGCAAGGAAGGGAAGGCAGCAGTTGTAAATGGCGGGGAAGTGATGGGTGGAGGAGGAGGAGCGGTGTGGCAACAGTGTGGGCCCAGGCCGGCGCTGTTGATAAGGCAGGTGCGCGCGTCACACTCGTGCTGCGCTGTATGTGTGACTGGACGCCACTGTTACCAGACGGTGTAGCCTAAAATTCCCCAAATCCAGAGACAAAATTCCCCCAATTTCCCATTTCTGACATTTCTCTTAATATTTAAATGAAAAAACGATAATTATTGAAAAGATTAAACAAACAATATGGTAAAAATTTTATAATTTGGATAAGATTAAAAGACACATCATAATTACATCAGTATTTGATTTGTAAATACAGTAGCCTGAAAAATAGATTTAAGGATGAATTTTAAAGAAAGATTAAGATGTTGATAAACAAGAAATTTAACAATTTAAATTTTCTTCCGTTAGGCCAAGTTACAGTACATTTCACTATTACATCAATACAAAACCTTCATTGCATTACTCAGAATCACTTGCATTACATACATGAGTTCATCTTTTTCAGTAGTTTTCTCTAACAGAAAAACTGAAACAAGGATTATTTCTCAAATGGGGTTTTCCAACTAGTGTCTTGGTTGACAATCAATTCCTTTGTTTTGTTTTTTAAATTATTTTATTTGTTTGTAATTTTAGCCACTTATCAGCCGTTCGGGTGATTGGTCTATCCAGTGTTAGTACAGGAGGAAACCAGGGACTGGGAAACCTGTGATGTTTGGTAAGGTCACTGGATAACACCCTTATCACGTGTCTCCGCTTGAACCCTTGACATATTGGTGAGAGATACGCGCGTTACCACTCCACCACCAACAGCTGAAAAAAATATTTCTGGAGTGGCATTAGAGTGGGGAAGGCATAGTTGACTAGTAACAAAATAGGACAAATTTGGAAACATAGGTGGTATCATCTCCTCTTTTCATCTCTTAATTTTTTCCAAAGCACTTCAATTGGAAGAAAAATTTTGATTCCGTGCAGAAATTCCCCAAATTGAGTACGAATATCCCAATTTCCCCATAGATACCTCAGATTCCCTAAATCTGGGGAAAATTCCTCATGTCTGGCAACACTGCTGGGCGCGTGGGCGGCCCTCACGTGTCCTACACCCACCGAGGTGTCCTTTCTGCCTCTTGGCTCTTATAATACACCAAACCCCAGTACTCCTAAAGGACTATCAAACCACCTGGCCCTGAGCTTCACGTCACCTCACCCACTCCGTGGTATACTACAGTGTTCCCCTGGTCGATATTATCTCGCGAAGATGTTCTTATAATTTCATTAATACAATTGTTTATAATATCAATGTTGTATATCGACTATTATTATTATTATTATTATTATATTTTGAGGAATGTAAACGTATTATTTATTATTTTATTATTACACATAGAAAAACTGTATTGCTAGTTATATTTTACAGTTATCAATATTTTCCCAAGCGAGTGAGCAGGACATTATAGCTAGTCCTGTCCCTCTTGGGAACTCGGGGACTCCTGAAGGGGTTTTCGGACTCCCCTAAAACTTGGCAGATACAGGTCCGTCTGTGACTGCAGATGAGTCAGTAATGGTCATCCTTGGGTTAAAATTGTCTATTTGACGGCCAGTTTTGGTTAATGAAATTCCCGTTCGTGTGATCAGTACATGGTGGCGGACAATGGCAGTGGAATATCAAACCTTGTGGGCTGATGTTGGAGATCATCCATCATGCCTACGAGACAGACACTATATACTTATGACATATACCGAGGCCTGGGAGGAACAACACGCAGCGTCTAGTATTGACCAAGGGATTAGGGGATTGTGGCAGTGTATCGTGTGTTCGTCTTGTATCGGATATATTAGACGCAGCATCTATTTTATATATATAAGCAAAAATTAGTAAAATGCGTCACTCATCAATTTTTCTACATCTGAAAATGGTTACCACATAAAAAGTTAATACGGAATTTTACTTGTTTATGTATTAAGAGGAAGATAATAGTCTGGTGTAGAGTATTGAGGGGTAGGGTGTTCCTGCAGGGCCATCATGTGTGTTTTGTCTGGTGTAGAGTATTGAGGGGTAGGGTGTTCCTGCAGGGCCATCATGTGTGTTTTGTCTGGTGTAGAGTATTGAGGGGTAGGGTGTTCCTGCAGGGCCATCATGTGTGTTTTGTCTGGTGTAGAGTATTGAGGGGTAGGGTGTTCCTGCAGGGCCATCATGTGTGTTTTGTCTGGTGTAGAGTATTGAGGGGTAGGGTGTTCCTGCAGGGCCATCATGTGTGTTTTGTACCCGAGGCTCACGTGTGTACTCCCCCTCTCCCAGGTGACCTACTCAGCCCTGAGAGTGGCCGCCCTTAATGTATTGTTGAGTCATCGTGTGTGGACATACTCACCCAGTTTTGTTAGAGCGTGATAACACACAGCTTTACCGTCCTCCTGCTGCTGCTGCTGTTGTAGGTCAGGGTTATGAGTCACTCTTAGTTTCTGCACCGGGCAACTATTATAAGAAATGTGTTGTGATGTTTTAGTTGGTTTAGGTGTCGCAGCATCCTTCTCTTAAGTCTTAGTAGTTACAAAATAAATAAAAACAATAGAATATCATACCATCTCGTTTATACACAGGCAGCCCAGTACACAGGTTCAGATGGTTTATCTTGAAACATGAGTTGGAGTACATATACTGTAGGTGAGGTGCGGTGACCGAGTGGATACAGCGCTCACCACTACTCCTTAGGGTTACTGGTTCGCGACCGCGGAACCCCTAGCTCACCCAGCTGTGAGTGAGTACCTTATGGGATCCACTTTTACATTACATATTGTTTATATTATATATATTTTCCCATATTTAAATAAGGATGGGACTGTTTCCCAGATCATGTTTATGTAATATATTGTGCGTCGATATGTTTTTCCTATTAATTTTAAAAACGTGAAATTACAAACGCATATACATATATGTCGGTCTTTCGAGAGTTTTATTTTTTCGGTGCACACGTAAGAGATATATTTGAATGATCTATATTTAAAATAATTTTCGATATTGTGCGTGTTATTTGACTGGTGGGTAAACGCCTCCCTCAGTGTTCTATTTTAAGCTGTTCATCTCATTGAGTAAATACAATTGTGTCAGTTCTCCGGATCTGGTATTATGTTTATTCTCGGTAGTAAACATCGCCGCGGAGTAAGAATAACTTGTTTGGTGGAAAACGGACACATAGTTAATGGGGCTTTAAGACACCCTGGCTAAGAGGCGTCTCAGTACACAACAATAACTACTTCACGACTTATCTACATATAATTTTACTTGATATAACTCTCAGGTATATGTAACCTTTTAAAGAGTTTTTACTTAGATTTTAGTTCTTAAAGAGTTACAGTTTAAACCAGAGTTCTCACTCGGTTAAGATCCCGTAAATAATAATAATAATAATAATAATAATAATAATAATAATAATAATAATAATACATATAAAGATAACTACAGTAGAGTATTAATAATATTGAATTGTGAGCGGTTGTGGGTGGTTGATGTGTGAACGTGTTGTAGACCCCGTCATCCCCTGCCGGATCACACTTAACTCTACGGTACCCACACACTACACTTCACTAACAATGTTACCTTGGTGAGTGTGGTGGTAATGATGGTGGTGGTGATGGTGAGTGTGTTGGTGATGGTGGTATTGTTGGTGATGGTGGTATTGTTGGTGATGGTGGTATTGTTGGTGATGGTGGTATTGTTGGTGATGGTGAGTGTGTTGGTGATGGTGGTATTGTTGGTGATGTATATACCCAGTTGTATCGAGACAGTACTGGTATAGGCTGAACATTTTTAAGAGAGCACTATAGTGGCTTTATTATAGACCCCCTCCCCCACACACAGAGCCACATATAGGCCTACGCAGTCACTTACACACAGCCACATATAGGCCTACGCAGTCACACTCATACAACCACACACTGGCCTACACACACACACACACACAGCACACATAGGCCACAGTCACACTCATACAACCACACACTGGCCTACACACACACACACACACACACACACACACACACAGCCACACATAGGCCTACACAGTCACACTCATACAACCACACACTGGCCTACACACACACAGCTACACATAGGCCTACACAGTCACACACATACAACCACACACTGGCCTAAACACACACAAGTTGACTACTATTACGCCCGAATAAGAAACCATAATCGTGTAATATATATATACAGCCCCTCCGTCCTCACATGAGATATAGACTGGGCTCAGGTATTCAGCTCACAGGTAGTCTCTCGTCTCTTCAGAAATGGAATGTGAGGAAATTGAAATGTTTTAGAGTGTAGGACAACTGTGTCAGTAGGTCAGTCAGTCTGGTATATCCCGAGGTATTGTTGCTTCCATAGTGACATGAGATACAGGTAGTTAAAAACCCCAAACAGTGACCTATAATTGTGTGTGTGTGAGTGTGTGTGTGTGTGTGTGTGTGTGTGTGTGTGTGTCGACCAACAATACCAATTGGGGGACAAACTAAGCTCCTGCAGGAACTATATATAGGGCACAGACAACTACACATATTGAGTGGGATATACTCGACTTGGATCAGTTGTAAATATGCGACTGATCACCAAGTTAAAGATTATGTGTCGTAAATCCCCCTGACTACATCGTGTTCTATGATTGATTTACGAATTCTGTTGTAGTTAAAATAGGCTTTTTTTTTTTTTTCTCTCTTTTTTTTTCACTACCTTTACCGCCAGCTTTTTGCCTTCCCGATTCCCAGTAGCTTAATGTAAGGCACACACGCCAAGCGCCTTTGTGGTAAACGGTGGAAGAAATGCTGGTACGGTGCTGGGCTCTCGTGCAGGAATGTTCACCGACTCGCGTTTAAGACATCAACATTGGCAGCGGCGACTATGATAACCCAGGCGCAGTTTACGAGGCGATGTGTGGGTTGCTGAGGCCGTGAGTGGGTGAGGGCGTGGGTGGGTGAGGGCGTGGGTGGGTGAGAGTGA